GTTTAAAAGAGTTTAGCAAGGTGCATATATAATTACATGCCTGTAATTATACCCCAGTAACTCAGGCATGCGTGCGGCCCGGGTTCGATCCTCAGCACCACATACAAAGATGTTGTGTCCGTTGAGAACTAAAAAATAAATATTAAAAAAAAATTTTTTTTGAAAAAAAAAAAGCGGGGAAGCTGAGGGTATACCTCAGTGGTAAAGTACCCCTGGTAGATTCCCAGTACCAAAAAATAAAATAAAATAGTTTGGGGTTTTTTTTTTTTCAGTAACTGTATCTGAATCATTAAAAGCAGCTACTGACTTTTCTCTTTTATATTGTAGTGATTTGAGACCTCATGAGATTTCATCTACAGCGGTTTCATGCAATGTCAATAGTTGACATTTAAAATATCACCATCCTGTTTCTATCTTCTAAAACTGATTTTAAATTTTTGCTTAGAATACTTTTATCCAAATTTGGAAGTGGTATTGTGGTGTTGTGTGTACATGCAGATACCTGCTTTTTTTTATGATATCTCTGAATATCTCTGTCATTTAAGTCCTGTCAAAGACATCTTCTTTGTGGGTGCTGGGATGGAACATGGAACCCAGGGCCTCTCACTTGCTATGCAAGTGCTCTGCCATAGAGCTGCACATCCAACCCTCAAGGACATCTTAATAAGTAGAAATTAACTAAAATAATCAAACATTATCATAAGAATTTTCCAACAACACAATTCTCTCAATCAAAAACAAAGTAAGCTGAGCTGGGGTTGTGGCTCAGTAGTGAAGCACTTGCCTCACATGTGTGAGGCACTGGGTTTGATTCTCAGCACCACATACAGACAAAAGAATAAAATGAGGTCCATCAACAATTAAAAAAATTTTTTTAAAGTAAGTTGAAAGTATGTTTTTAAAATATTGCTGATGAACAGCAGCAGAAGTTCACAGGATTAAGAATTCTGTAGAAAACTAGAAAGACAAAAATTTAAAAGTTGAATAGGAGAAAACTACTGCATAGAACTGAAAGCTGTAGGACATGGAGGATTTCCTAGTAAATACGGACAGTGCAAAATGACTTTAAATTAAGGAAACTATAAGTCAATCAATTAGCATAGGCATGCTTAGATTGGTGCTTACTATTCCACTGGAAAAGACTCCAGGATCGTGGGGCTCACAGCTGAGTGTTACCTGACCTTTAACAAAATCCTGATTTTACTTCAAACGCTCATAATCTAGAGAAAAAAGAAATAGGTGACTTTCCTAAATTTATTTTATGGTATATCAAAGCCTGATACAGTTAAGATATTTCATCCAATGCCTTATGTCAATTTTTACATAATACACATTATTTTGTGTGCCATTAAAAACATACTGCCAATTGGCATACCGAGATGTGGCAGCAGGGGAGGCTATTCATCCTAGCCCAGTGGGGTGGGGTCTGGAGGAAGGTCAGGAGGGACCAGGATGGTAAGTAGTAGTGGCATTGGTCATCACTAGCTCAGAGCAGCTCAAGCGCCAGTCTTCTAGCCCTACATCCCTCCCAGGGGAAACTGAGGATGAAGCTGGGCAGAGGCAGTGGCAGCCTGCCTAACTCGCCATCCACCATTGTGCAGCCACCCTGAATCCATAGTCCCTAGGCCACTTGCCACAACTACCCGCTCTGTTTCAGTTGCCTTAAGGTGCTGGGGAAGTGGAAAATATTCACTACATAATGCTGAAAGAGGAGAGGAACCAGGCAAGGTGACCCATGCATGTAACCCCAGCTACTAGGGAGACTGAGGCAGAAGGATTACAAGTTTGAGGCTGGCTTGGGCAATTTAGCATGACCATGTCTCAAAATAAAAAAAGAACTGAGGGTGTTGCTCAGTAGTAGAGCACTTACCTAGGATGCATGAAGTCCTGGGCTCAACCCACAGTATTACAATTATTTAGCCTTAAAGATGAATGAAATGATGGCATTTGATGGTAAATGGATGGAGCTGGAGAATATCATGCTAAGTGAAATAAACCAATTCCAAAAAATCAAAGGCCAATGTTTTCTCTGATATGCAGATGCTAATTCATAATGGTGGGGATGGCGGCGCTAGGGAAGAATAGAGTTATGTTGGATTAGGCAAGGGGAAACAAAGGGAAGGGAGAGCCTACAGAACGGGAGAAAAATTTTGCCAGTTACTCTTCCAACAGGGGATTAATATCCAAAATATAAAAACTCAAAACAACACCAAAAAATTAATAACTCAATTAAAAATGGACAAAAGAACTAAGCAGACATTTCTCAAAAGAATTCAACAAATATGTGAAAAAAATCAACATCCTTAGCAATCAGGAAAATGCAAATCAAAACTACCTTGAGATTTTATCTGACTCCAGTCAGAATGGCAAACATCAAGATCACAACTAATTACAATCTCTGGCATGGATGTGGGGAAAGGCACACTCACACACTGTTGGTGGGACTGCAGCCTAGTGCAACTACTCTGGAGGGCAGTGTAGAAATTCCTCACAAACTAGGAATGCACTACCATATGACCCAGCTGTCCCACTCCTTGGTATTTATCCAAAAGAACTAAAATCAACACAGGATAGTGATACAGCCACATCAATATTTACAGCACCACAATTCATAACAGCCAAGCTATGGAACCAGCCCAGGTGGCTATCAACAGACAATGGATAAATAAAATATGATATAAATACACAACAACTTAGCCACAAAGAATAATGAAATTATCACATTTGCTGGTAAATAAATGAAACTAGAGAACATCATGCTAAATGAAATAAGCCAGATTCAGAAAGTCAAGTGTCAAATGCTTTATCTCATATGCAGAAACTAGAGAGAAATAAGGAAATATAAAAGGGGGTGATCCCATGAAGATAAAAGGGAGGTCAGTGGAATATAAGGCAGTAGAGAGGGAGAAAGGAGGGATGGAAAAGGGAGAAACTGAGGAACAAAATTGACCAAAGGATGTATGTACATAAATGAATAAAACAGTGAACTCTGCCTTCATGCATATCTATAAAGTACCAATTTAGTAAAACAATAAATAAATAGAGAAAGACCAATGGAGGAGGGGGAGTAGGGGAGGGAGGAAAAGAAGAAAGTAGAAGCACTGGGGATGAAATGAACAAAATTATATTCCATGTATGTCTGCTTTTGTCAATATGGACCCCACTAATATGTATAACTAAATGCACTAATAAAAGCATTTTTTAAAAGAGGGAAAAGGAGACATGTGGGGCTGGGGTTGTGGCTCAGCAGTAGAGCACTCACCTAGCACGTGCACGGCGCTGAGTTCAATCATCAGCACCACATAAAAATACATATGTAAAATGAAGGTACTGTGTCCAACTACAACTAAAAAATTAAAAAAAAAAAAGATACATGTACTGCCAATCAAACTCTGACTTTCTCAGGCAAAGAAAAATGTGGTTAATGAGTTTAGTTCCATAGATGCCATGGAATAAATTCTTAATAAATTAAATATAATTTAATAAGTTTGTTATAAATAATCAATTTGAACCTAAATAATTTAGTGGGCTTAACACATGTACTTTTGAATTTTTCAATATTTTCCTACTACATTAACACTGAAAGACAAAATAAATCATTAAAATGTTACGGAAACAAATAATGGAGTGCACTAGGGCCCCCTCCCCTTAGGCTCAGAACCCTCCCTCAGCACGCCTCCTTCCTTCCTGCCAGGTTCTTCAAAAACTATACAGGGTCCCTGGGTTATGATGATGAGGGGCACAGCCTAAGGAGGGGCTGCTACATATTGAGCCTCAATGAAAAATACTGAAGGAAAGAGTAGGGCTCCCAGCCAGGCTGCCTTCAGTGAGATCCAGTCCTCCCTGGAGGCATGACCCACTTCTCCTCAGAGCCACCTGAGGGAGATGCATGACAAGGGTCCCCAAGCCAGGTGTCTCCCTCAGGTGGCTCTGAGGAGAAGTGTGCTCCAGGCCTCCCTAGAGACATGACCCACAGGGTCCCCAAGCCAGGCGTCTCCCTCAGGTGGCTCTGAGGAGAAGGGAGCTCCAGGCCTCTCTAGAGACATGACCCACAGGGTCCCCAAGCCAGGCGTCCCCTCAGGTGGCTCTGAGGAGAAGTGTGCTCCAGGTCTCCCTAGAGACATGACCCACAGGGTCCCCAAGCCAGGCGTCCCCTCAGGTGGCTCTGAGGAGAAGTGTGCTCCAGGTCTCTCTAGAGACATGACCCACAGGGTCCCCAAGCCAGCCGTCTCCCTCAGGTGGCTCTGAGGAGAAGGGAGCTCCAGGTCTCCCTAGACATGACCCACAGGGTCCCCAAGCCAGCCGTCTCCCTCAGGTGGCTCTGAGGAGAAGTGTGCTCCAGGCCTCCATAGAGACATGACCCACAGGGTCCCCAAGCCAGGCGTCTCCCTCAGGTGGCTAAGAGGAGAAGTGTGCTCCAGGCCTCCCTAGAGACATGACCCACAGGGTCCCCAAGCCAGGCGTCCCCTCAGGTGGCTCTGAGGAGAAGTGTGCTCCAGGTCTCCCTAGAGACATGACCCACAGGGTCCCCAAGCCAGGCGTCTCCCTCAGGTGGCTCTGAGGAGAAGGGAGCTCCAGGTCTCCCTAGAGACATGACCCACAGGGTCCCCAAGCCAGGCGTCCCCTCAGGTGGCTCTGAGGAGAAGGGAGCTCCAGGCCTCTCTAGAGACATGACCCACAGGGTCCCCAAGCCAGGCGTCCCCTCAGGTGGCTCTGAGGAGAAGGGAGCTCCAGGCCTCTCTAGAGACATGACCCACAGGGTCCCCAAGCCAGGCGTCTCCCTCAGGTGGCTCTGAGGAGAAGTGTGCTCCAGGTCTCCCTAGACATGACCCACAGGGTCCCCAAGCCAGGCGTCTCCCTCAGGTGGCTCTGAGGAGGAAGCAGTTCCGCCCTTCCCTGTAGAGGGACCCACCAACTCACTGGGCCAGGATTCTCCCGCGTTGGTCCTGAAGAAGAGGCTCTGGTCCTCCCGGGAAGAGGCGGGAGGGCGTGCAGGATGCCGCCGCCGAGGCCCCGCCCACGCCTGGCCACACCCCCTGGCGGCCCCGCCCCGCGAAGGCCTTGGTCGGATCCTGGGGCCGCGCTTCCCGACCTTGTGGGGAATTGCAGCTCCCTCTGGCTCTGGTCCCCGCCGGAGCCTAGGCCTGTGATCCCAGTAGCTCGGGCCGACTGACAGGAGGGTCATGAGTTCTAACACCAGCTTCAGCAACTTAGCCAGGCTCTGAGCAACGCCGTGAGACCAAGTCTCCAAACAAAGTACAGAAAAGGGCTGCGGTGTTGACCCCGGGTTCAATCCCCGGTACCAAAACACAACAACCTTCTTCCTGCCTTGCCTAGGTCTGTGTGTATTATCTGTGGCATCACAGGGAGTGACATCTCAGGAGAGAAGAAAAGGGAATCCAGGAGACCACCCTCCTGAGATCCCACCAAGGAAATGCAAATAACTACATTGAGGTCATGTCTTACCCCGATTAGTATGATCACTTTCAAAAAACAAAAAAATGTCAAATGGTATAAGGACGCGGAGATAAAGGAACCCTCATGTGCAATTTAGTGGGAATGTAAACTAGTACAGATACGATGGAAAACAATATGGAGATCCCTTCTAAAAACTGAATGCACAACTGCTGTGTGATACAGCTGTATCACTTTTTGGCATATATTCAAAAGGTGCCAGGTGCTGCTGCAGCCAGGCGCCGTGTGAGCAGAGAAACCCGACAGGCGCAGCTACGTGGAGCCCCAGCTTCACTCCTGCGACCCAGGGCAGAATGCCAGGAACTGGCCACACAGAGGCCTTTGGGAAGTGTGGTCTTTAAGATGGAGTAACTGAGCTGGGACTGCCCCATTTTAGGATCAAGGGTTTTAAGAACAGCAGTTAAATCCCAGTCCAAGGTAGCCACTATCAAGGTAAGGAGAACCTGAGCTCAGACCAAGCCCCCAGTCGCCTCTGGGAGCTGCAGGCTGCACATTCATCAGAACTCCCAGGGATTCTGGGGCAGGGGAGCCTGGATTTCTTTCCACACAGCCCTCATCCCAGAAGCCTATAGGACCTGCAAGAAGCACACACCCCTAGGATTCTGGGTAGCAGAGTCCAGTACTCTACAATGCAGCCCCATTGCAGAAGTTTCTGAGAGCTGCTTACTAGCCCATCTTACAGACACCCCTGAGGATTCTGGGAAGTGCAGTCTGGCGTTTCTGCCCTTGCATCCTTCACCAAAGAGGATTCTTGGAGCTGAACCTCTATGGAGGTGCAGCTCCTCTACGGAGGTGCACACATGATCCTCACAGCATGATGGACATTGTAGTCTGCTGTTGTTAATGCAGCCCACACTCCAGCAGCTCCTTGGAGTTCTGAGCCTCCAGGAATTCTGGGTATTATATATAGTCTGTTCCACTCAGGCAGCCCTGACCTCAAAGGTCTCTAGAACTGTGGACCATTGATTATTTTGGTTAGTGCAGCCCATCATACAAAAGAGGACCTCAGCATCAAGCTCCAAGGATCGCATACTACAGCCTACCTGGGCACCCCAAGGAATCTGGGTAGCAGAATACAAACCTTCCCGAAGAAGTTCTCAATGGGCAGGTGCCTGGGAGCTGCCAGCCCCCAGGAGTTCAGGGTAGTGTAGTCTGATCTGCAGCATGAGTAGCCTTCACTCTGTAGGCCTCTGGGAGTTGCAGGCTGCCCACTCACCTGGGCAACACCCCACCCAAGGATTCTGCTGAGTGTACTTAGGTTTTCGGCCTACAGTCCTCACCACAGAGGATCCTGAGAGCTACAGTCCCCTGAAGATTCTGGGTGATGCAGTCCTGTGTTTTTGCCTGTTCACTGCAGAGAATCTTGGAGGCTACAGACCTTAGAAGATGTGGGCAAGCAGTCCAGTGGTTTGCACTTACCACAGAGGATTCTAGAACTGCATCCCCTGAGGATACGGGTAAAGTGATGCAGTGTTCTTGCTCAATTACCACAGAGGATTCCAGGAGCCATGACCCCTGAGGGCTGTGGGTAATGTAGACTAAGGGTTTGTCTGATCAGCACAGAGGATCCTGGAGCTGCAGCCCTAGAGGATTCTGGAAAATGTAGTTTAGTGTTTTGCTTGCCAGCCCTGCTGGGAAGACCACAAAAGCTGCAGACCCCATGCTTTCTCAGGTATCCTGAAGATTATAGATAGTGTGGTCTACCATTGCAGCCCTCACACAGAAACTTCTGGGAGTTACAGAGTTACAGGGTGCAGGCATCCCCAGGAATTCAGAGCACTGAAGTCTGGTATTCTGCCCTTGTGCCCTCACCCCAGAGGCTCCTGGGAGTGGCAGACAACCCAGGATAACTGATAGCATAGTTTGTCATTCTTCCCACACAGCTATCATAGTAGAGGTCTTTGAGCCTCAGGTCCACAAGAGTTATGGGTAGTGCAAACTGTCACTACTCAATATAAAGGCTTCTGGGAACTGCAGGCCCTGAAGGATTCTGTGTATGGCAGTCTATCAAAACTTTGCAACTCTCACCACAGAGGATCCTAGGAGTTGCTGGCCATATTCTTGTCAGACACCTGAGGACTCCCGGTAGTGTCGTCTAGCATTCTGCTGTCAACACTCACCAAGAAGACCCTGGAAGTTTTAGCGCCACATGCTTACCCTGGTAAACTGAGAATTATGAATACTGTTCAACAGCAACTGCCTGGACAGCCAAATATTCTCCACAAACACCTCTGGGTACGGCATCCCAAAGACTGCATGTCAAGCCACGAATTCCCCAAAAAGGACTTTGCACATTCACTCAGAATTCCCATGGATTTGGCATACTGAGGACTCCGGGAAGGGTATTCCAGCAACTGCCTGCTCACCCAAGGATTCTCCACAAAGAACCGTGATACACTGAGGATTCTGGGTAGGGCATCCCAGAGACTGCCTGTCCACCCAAGGATCCCCCACAAAGGACTCCAGCACACTGAGGATTCTGGGTAGGGCATCCCAGAGACTGCCTGTCCACCCAAGGATCCCCCACAAAGGACTCCGGCACACTGAGGATTCTGGGTAGGGCATCCCAGAGACTGCCTGTCCACCCAAGGATCCCCCACAAAGGACTCCGGCACACTGAGGATTCTGGGTAGGGCATCCCAGAGACTGCCTGTCCACTCAAGGATCCCCCACAAAGGACTCCGGCACACTGAGGATTCTGGGTAGGGCATCCCAGAGACTGCCTGTCCACCCAAGGATCCCCCACAAAGGACTCTGGCACACTGAGGATTCTGGGTAGGGCATCCCAGAGACTGCCTGTCCACCCAAGGATCCCCCACAAAGGACTCCGGCACACTGAGGATTCTGGGTAGGGCATCCCAGAGACTGCCTGTCCACCCAAGTTCCCCCACAAAGGACTCTGGCACACTGAGGATTCTGGGTAGGGCATCCCAGAGACTGCCTGTCCACCCAAGGATCCCCCACAAAGGACTCCGGCACACTGAGGATTCTGGGTAGGGCATCCCAGAGACTGCCTGTCCACCCAAGTTCCCCCACAAAGGACTCTGGCACACTGAGGATTCTGGGTAGGGCATCCCAACAACAGCCTGTCCACCCAAGGATCCCCCACAAAGGACTCTGGCACACTGAGGATTCTGGGTAGGGTATCAAGAGACTGCCTGTCCACCCAAGGATCCCCCACAAAGGACTCTGGCACACTGAGGATTCTGGGTAGGGCATCCCAGAGACTGCCTGTCCACCCAAGGATCCCCCACAAAGGACTCTGGCACACTGAGGATTCTGGGTAGGGCATCCCAACAACAGCCTGCCCAGTCAAGAGTTCTGCATAAAGACTTCTGGGAACTGCAGGCCAATAGTTGGCCAGGAGCCCCCATGAATTCTGAGTAGTCATTTTCTGCCCATGCAGTTCCCACCACAGGGGTTCCTGGGAACTATTCTTTTAGTATTCTGTGTAATTCAATCCAGCATCTGCCCAAGGACCTACCAGGTATGCCTTGTAGGAGCTGTAGGCCACATATTGGCCCTGATTCCCCAAGGATTACGGGTACTGCAGCCTGGAGACTGTCCACACAGCCATCATCACTGGGATGCCTGGGACTTGTCATCAGGTGTCTTCAAAAATATTGTAGTCATGCAGTGGAAAAAAGTCTTTAATACAGCCACAATGGAAACTAATCACAGGGCTGGGGTTGTGGCTTAGTCAGTGGTAGACCACTTGCCTAGCACCCGTGAGGCACTGGGTCAATCGTCAGTACCACAAAGAAAAACTAAGCAAAATAAAGGTATTGTGTCCATCTATAACTAAAAACATTTTTTTAAAAAAAATAAAGAAAATAATCATGAATAATTTGTTAATATCAAATGCCCAATTAATATACCAATTTCTCCAGCTATTTCAAAGAAATTTTTGAGTTCGACACAAACAAAGAAGATTCAAACTAGGAGCATCCATTTCATTTGATTAATATATCTTCCTTTTCTTATCACCTTCTTATTGACAAAGGCAGTTAATTTATGCTGTAGATCTCCAAGTCTGTGTCTTGTTTCTTCGTTTTGTTTTACCTCACAGTGCCTGGAATTGAGCCCACATCCTCACACATGCTACCCCAACTTATAACCCCACCCACTAAGTTCTTCTTGTAACAGACACAAATATAATATTTATACTTATTTATTTATACTTTGAATTTTAACACATCACTTTAACACTATAGTTCTTTAACACTATAAGAAAATGAGTCATTAAAACCAGATAAAAGCAAGCAATAACGGGCACATTAGCTCTTCCCCTCGGGCCCCAGTTAGACTCCTGGCGCTGGGTCCTCCCTGTGCCATCCTGAGGGGCCTTCTGTGTTTCTCCTTTCTGTATCCCTGGATTTCTCCCCCAAAATATACTCAAACCACACAAAACACATTGACATGAAGAACATTCAAAGTCTTGAGTAAGGAATACTGTTGCAAAATAAGTTCTGCTACGATGTTACCTTGTAAAGAACACGCACAGTTTCTTCCTCAGCACACCAAGCAATGCACAGGAAGCTCCTTCCTCTTGTTTCTTCACATAGACCTCCATCATCCTGAATCCACAGTGAGTCTCCACGGGTAGATGGCAAGGAGAAGGAAGCTGTGGTCCCCACCGGACGGAATTCTCAGGTATCCCCAGGCCATAGTATCTCCCAGGTGTGTTCTGAGAAGAAGGAAGTTCTGATCCTCATTGGACATCGTCCCCCAAGGTGTTCCCAGCATAGCATCTCCCAGATGAGTCCACGGAGAAGGAAGCTTGCAGAGGACACAGAACACAGCCCCTCAAAAGCAGGTGTTTCACCATGTGAGAGAAAGTTGCTCTGATCGCCACCTTCTGGCCACTGTGGGAAATGCGGGATGCCCCATGCTGCCTCCTGCTAGTCACAGTGAAGCTCTGAAACTCATATTCTGATTATTCCAGATTATGATTTTTGAAATCAAAAAGAAATAGAACCCACCATTCTATGTCTTGGTCAGAAAGAATGGAGATAGCAAGAAGCAAAATGCATGGCCCATAGACAAAATTCCATTGATTTCCTATATATCAGCAATAATGTAGAGGAAACAGTGGAATTTGAAAACTGGAATAAGAAAAATTTTAAAGCATTAAGATTAAAAATAGCACCTCCCTGAGACTGAGGTTGTGGCTCAGTGGTACAGCGCTTTACTCGCATATGTGAGGCATTGGATTCGATCCTCAGCACCACATAAAAATAATAAAGATATTGGGTCCATCTACAACTAAAAATATATATATATTTTAAAAAGCAGCCCCCCTTATTTGCATGTAAGTCTTAAAGTACAATCATACCTTCAGTAAATCTTGAAACATTGTAAGAAGAAATAAAGTAAAATATAAATAAATGCAGAGATGTTCCTTGTTCAGGTCTCAATATAGTTAATATGAAATTATCTCAAACCTGATCTGCAGATTCAGGGAAGTCCCAGTGAAATTCCCAGCAAGCTGTTTCTAAACTTAGAATAGACAGCACTGACTGCAAAAGGACACACTTCAAGAAAGCACACACCTGGACCTTAAAACCTATCAGAATACTCCATAGACTTGCATTTAAAATGTGAAACACAAGGGCTGGGGATGTGGCTCAAGCGGTAGCGCGCTCGCCTGGCATGCGTGCGGCCCGTGTTCGATCCTCAGCACCACATACAAACAAAGATGTTGTGTCCGCCAGAAACTAAAAAAAAAAATATAAAAAAAAAAAAATAAAATGTGAAACACAAAACTGGAGAAGTCATGCATGACCATATATTTCATGATGAGGTTTTAATACAGTCCCCAGACAATTCCATGAAAGAAAAAATTGATAATGTGGACTGTATTAAATTACTCTGTGAAAAATCATTTTAAGGAAAAAAAGACAAGCCAAATACTGGGTGAAACATTTGGAAAGTACATGTGTAAAATAAACTTGAGTCCAAAATATAGTAAGACACTCAACCATAAGTAACTCAATGGCTAAAGACCTGAACAGACAACTCACAAGAAAGATACAAGATGGCAGAGAAGGGGCTGGGTGGTGGCTCAGTGGCAGAGCGCTTGCCTTGCACATGTGAGGCACTAGGTTTGATCCTCAGCACCACATAAAAACAAAAAAACAAAATAAAGATATCATGTCCATGTATAGCTCAAAAAATATTTTAAAAACAGATGTCAGAGAAGCATAGAAATGATTATTAGCATCACCTTTTGTGAGAGAAGCACAACTAAAGCCCTCCACCATGAGGACGATGAGCAGCCTCGGGCACTCTTGTGCACTGCTGGCGGAGGGCACAACAGCTCACTACTATCAAAAATATGGCCATTTTTTCCAAAGTTAGACACGGTGTCACCACATGACCCAAAAAACATAGACAACTGCCTCGAAAACGTGTATTTAGATAGCAGCCTGCTCTGCTCACACTGGCCACACACTTTAGGAAATCAGGGTAGGGCTCCACAGGTGAGTGAATCACAGAACTGCAGACCACCCATGCCATGCAGGCCTAGGGGTCTCCGAGCTCCCCCAGGCCTCTGCTCTGGTCCACACCTGAACCACCTGGCCTCCCTTACCCTGTGCCCCCCAGTGGGACAAAGTGGGTTCTGTACGGGAACACCTATAGACACAAATGATGAACTCAGGAGAACGCAGGGACAAAGACCCAGGTGTGAGTCTTTGCCCACAGGAGCCTCCTGGGGAAGGACAGCCAGACTAGATGCAACCGCAGGAGCCCCATGGGCCACATCTGCCAGGGAGAACCCAAAGGCAGCTCCTACGACCCACCTCTGATCAGCATAGAGGACCCTGTGCTGCACCTTAATTCCCAACACAACTTCTGTTTGTTTCTCCATAGGCAGCACCTGCATCCTGAGCAGGATTCTACAGTTTGTTTGGTATTGTAGAGAGAGCTGGGCCACTACCTAGCCCTGAGGCATAGCCTCTGAAATTCACGTTCTGGTTATTACACAACATGATTTTGGACTTTTAAGCTGAAACAAAGCCCAAAATCCCATGCCTTGTTCTGAAAGGGTGGTGCTATGGTTCATATTCCAACGTTCTGGAGTCCAGAAAGCCCAGGGCTTGAAAAACCACCCCTCACATCTCCTCCAGCCCCCCTCAGCCATCAGTTTGGAACAGCTGAGATGTCTCAGCAGGGAGGGTGCCTCAGGAGGGCACCTCCTGTCATAGCCCAAGGCACAGGACTTGATGTCTCTGCTCCCCAAGTCTGTGGGAGTCAGCCTGGTGGGGGACGAGGCCCTCACTGTACACAACTCACAGGGCTAAAAGGGTGGAGTGTGGCCTTGTGCATAGGTGGAGGGAAGGCAGCCAGCAGTGGAACACTCCCTCTCTAGGGAGGCCTTCACCACACAGAACTCACAGGGTGGAGTGTGGCCTTGTGCACAGGTGGAGGGAAGGCAGCCAGCAGTGGAACACTCCCCTCTTGAGGGAGGCCTTCACCACACAGAACTCACAGGGTGGAGTGTGGCCTTGTGCACAGGTGGAGGGAAGGCAGCCAGCAGTGGAACACTCCCCTCTCTAGGGAGGCCTTCACTGTACAGAACTCACAGGGTGGAGTGTGGCCTTGTGCACAGGTGGAGGGAAGGCAGCCAGCAGTGGAACACTCCCCTCTCTAGGGAGGCCTTCACTGTACAGAACTCACAGGGTGGAGTGTGGCCTTGTGCACAGGTGGAGGGAAGGCAGCCACCAGTGGAACACTCCCTCTCTAGGGAGGCCTTCACTGTACAGAACTCACAGGGTGGAGTGTGGCCTTGTGCACAGGTGGAGGGAAGGCAGCCAGCAGTGGAACACTCCCTCTCTAGGGAGGCCCTCACTGTACAGAACTCACAGGGTGGAGTGTGGCCTTGTGCACAGGTGGAGGGAAGGCAGCCAGCAGTGGAACACTCCCTCTCTAGGGAGGCCTTCACTGTACAGAACTCACAGGGTGGAGTGTGGCCTTGTGCACAGGTGGAGGGAAGGCAGCCAGCAGTGGAACACTCCCCTCTCTAGGGAGGCCTTCACTGTACAGAACTCACAGGGTGGAGTGTGGCCTTGTGCACAGGTGGAGGGAAGGCAGCCAGCAGTGGAACACTCCCTCTCTAGGGAGGCCTTCACTGTACAGAACTCACAGGGTGGAGTGTGGCCTTGTGCACAGGTGGAGGGAAGGCAGCCAGCAGTGGAACACTCCCTCTCTAGGGAGGCCTTCACCACACAGAACTCACAGGGTGGAGTGTGGCCTTGTGCACAGGTGGAGGGAAGGCAGCCAGCAGTGGAACACTCCCTCTCTAGGGAGGCCTTCACTGTACAGAACTCACAGGGTGGAGTGTGGCCTTGTGCACAGGTGGAGGGAAGGCAGCCACCAGTGGAACACTCCCCTCTCTAGGGAGGCCTTCACTGTACAGAACTCACAGAGTGGAGTGTGACCTTGTGCACAGGTGGAGGGAAGGCAGCCAGCAGTGGAACACTCCCTCTCTAGGGAGGCCCTCACTGTACAGAACTCACAGGGTGGAGTGTGACCTTGTGCACAGGTGGAGGGAAGGCAGCCACCAGTGGAACACTCCCCTCTTGAGGGAGGCCTTCACTGTACAGAACTCACAGAGTGGAGTGTGGCCTTGTGCACAGGTGGAGGGAAGGCAGCCAGCAGTGGAACACTCCCCTCTCTAGGGAGGCCTTCACTGTACAGAACTCACAGAGTGGAGTGTGGCCTTGTGCACAGGTGGAGGGAAGGCAGCCAGCAGTGGAACACTCCCCTCTTGAGGGAGGCCTTCACTGTACAGAACTCACAGAGTGGAGTGTGGCCTTGTGCACAGGTGGAGGGAAGGCAGCCAGCAGTGGAACACTCCCCTCTTGAGGGAGGCCTTCACTGTACAGAACTCACAGAGTGGAGTGTGGCCTTGTGCACAGGTGGAGGGAAGGCAGCCAGCAGTGGAACACTCCCTCTCTAGGGAGGCCTTCACCACACAGAACTCACAGGGTGGAGTGTGGCCTTGTGCACAGGTGGAGGGAAGGCAGCCAGCAGTGGAACACTCCCCTCTTGAGGGAGGCCTTCACTGTACAGAACTCACAGGGTGGAGTGTGGCCTTGTGCACAGGTGGAGGGAAGGCAGCCAGCAGTGGAACACTCCCCTCTCTAGGGAGGCCTTCACCACACAGAACTCACAGGGTGGAGTGTGGCCTTGTGCACAGGTGGAGGGAAGGCAGCCAGCAGTGGAACACTCCCCTCTCTAAGGAGACCTTTAATGCCAGAACTCACAAGCACAACAGAGTGGATGCACATGGCCTTCAGAGGAGCCAAGAGCAGTTAGGGCCACAAGCCCTCTTCTCCAAGTCCACAGAACAGACTCCTTTGGGGAATAAGGTGGTGAGAAGGGGTGAGACAGCCAGTTTGTGCATTTCTTAGGGCTGCCATAATTGTATTGTAAACTGCATAGCTTAACTTTATTACCTCAAAGTTCTGGAGGCCAGAATTGTGAAATGAGGGCATCAGCAGAGTGTTCTTCCTCAGAGCAGCTGGGGAGGCTCCTTCCTTTCCTCCTCCAGGCTCTGGTGGTCACTGGAAATCTTCAGAGTGGCTTGGTGCAGAAATAGAGGAACGGTTATCGAACGGTGCCTACTGAGGCCCAGGAGACGATCCAGAGCCATCCCAACAGGCAGAGACCTTGCAAAGGCATCTTGGGCTGGAGGAAGCCTAGGTAGGTGAGGATGTACAGCCAGGGAGCACGGCAGGGCCTCGGATGGAGAGTCTAGGAAGAAGTGTTGGGGTGAGGGTTCTTCTGACCTAACCAACCCAGTAAGACTCCCCTGGAGACAAGCCCAGGTGACCAGATACAGGAAGGGGGCTATGCCTGCTAAATGGATGGGCGGGGTGCTCTGCCAGCCCTGGATTTTATCAGAAGTGCACTGATGGGCCCAGGAGAGGGTTCAGGAGCCTGGGCAGGCAGAGAAGCTGCTGTTCCCTCTTTTTTTTTTTTTTTTTAATGTATTTTGTAGTTGTAGATGGACACAATACCTTTATTGGGGGTGGGTGGGTACCAGGGATTGATCTCAGGGGCACTTGACCACTGAGCCACATCTCCAGCCCTATTTTCTATTTTATTTAGAGGCAAGGTCTCACTGAGTTACTTACTTTTTTTTTTTTTTTTTTAATTGTGGAGCAAGGATGGAACTAGTGTCACCCATGTGCTAGGCAAGCGCTCCACCACTAAGTCACAGCCCAGCCCCTGCTGTTCCCTCTTGTTCAGGGAAAGACCTTCTCTCCTTTGAACTTGGCCAGTCCACTTCCTCCTCGGGTCATCTTCTGTTCATTCAGGACAACTGAATCAACTACTGGGACCTGGGATCAGAGGATACCTACTAGGTGGTGCAGGGAGGCATTTATGAGTAGGAATTTCTATGAAAATTTAAAAACACAGACTATGACCACAGCCGGAAACCAGGGTCTGTGTGTGGAGGGAAGCAGTGAGGTCTGAGTGTGGGCCCGGGGGTGGCAGTGACAACCCAACAGTGTCCTACCACGGGCTACGAACATCTCTGGGGACAGCACCAGTGTCCTAGGACCCATGCTAAGCACGGGTCTTCAGAGCCACCACAGCAGAGGGGGTGTTCTGAGCAGCCCCGCTGCACCTCTCCCACCTGCTTTCTACCCCAAGTGCTCTGTGGGCCCACTGTGACCTCCCCCAGGTGTCTCCAGCCTGGACTCATCACAGGTACTGAGTCCCGTCACCCCCAGCTCCTTGGCCCTGGATGCGGCTGGGAACCAAGTTCCAAGTTCCCAGTGTCCGCAGCATCTGGGTGCCTGGACCCTGGCACCAGGAGACGGCCATGGAGCACACATGACCCCTTTGGGACTAGGGCAGGGTAGAGGGAATCATCCCTCTCGGCACTGGTGTGCCCACCCCACAACAGATCAGAAATAAAGCAGGTTCCAAGTGCAAACAGAACACCAGCAGACACTTGGAAATAAATCACCCATCACAAAGACATATTTGGTAAAAAAACAAAATTTATGTATCGGTCTCCCACTGAAAAGGCAAGCCCAGAAAGTTCTGAAATGGCTTAGAGGCACCAGCCGAGCACCTGGCTTCAGAACTGGCTGTGTCGGCAGAGGGTCAGGACTGCAGGGCTCAGGCCAGAGTCCCGTGGGGGCACAGGGAAGGCATGGACGGTGCTTCCTACAGGGCCTGGAACCCAGGTCTGTGCAGGAGCGAAGGGTGTTGCTGGTTGGGCAGTTCAGAAGGCAGGACCCCCACCACATGTGGAGAGACTCTGAAGCCTTGGGGGCAGACACCGGGTTGAGGAGGGGAAACGGCAGGACTCAGGAAGGGGAGTGAGTCTGGCTGGTCTTTCAGGCCACCAAGGCCACCAAGGCCCAGGTGCCTGGCTGTGCACTAGGGGTGTGCTTTCCCTCAATGCATTCAACCTGCTGTCTCCACCGCCAGACCTCCTCCCTGCTGCAGCCCTGGGGTCCTGCCCGCCCTCTGCTCAGGCCCTCTGGTCATGAGATAACTCTGTGTGCTGGCCAGAGAGAAGCAGGAAGCCTGGCAGCAAGGCCCTCAACAAATGCCTGCTTTATTAGAAACCCACGTGCACACCCACCATGAAGCACGGGGTGCCTGGCTCCCAGGCCCTTCCCCACCCCGCATAAGACCGGGGCTCCTCAAGGAGCAGCCAGGACAGCCCACAGGACGCCTGGCCCCCAGGGGCACTGCTTGCCTCTGGCACTAGCTGGGAACCTGGGGCCTGTCTGGGTCCTCCTGCTGACCAGGGCCCAGGGCATAGCTGGCCCACAGATGGTCCCCTGGAGGTCCTGGCTCAGGAGGAGGAGACCGGGTAGCCACGGTGGTTGTGCGTGGCCTCGCCGACAGTCAGCGTCAGGGACAGGCTGGGCTTGCGCTCCACAGCCTCCTCCAGGCAGGGCCGCAGGGGTCGGGCTTTGAAGAAGTCTGAGACATACCGGACCTGAGGGGGGCGGAAGAGCCGGGTCGGAGGAAGGCAGTTAGGGTCCCACGGAGGGTGGGGGGAGGGTCTGGGGGAGGGCCCCAAGGAAGCGCCAGGGTGGGGGTGGGGTGGGGGGCTGGGACTCACAGTGAGGCCGGCCACCAGCGCCCCCTGCAGGAGGCCGACGAGGACGTCGCTCCAGTGGTGCTTGTGGTCAGACACGCGGGTGTAGCCCACGTACAGGGCGAAGGCCACCAAGAAGAACTGCACGGTGGGCCGCAGCAGCCGCGCCCACTTCCCGCAGAGCCGCGCCTGCACGTACAGCTGCGGCGGGAGCGCATCAGCGGGGCGGAGGCCCACGCGGCACTGCCAGGGCAGGGGCACAGGGAGCCCTAGCCACGCTTGCAGGAACAAGCCAGCAAGCCCACCCGGTGCGGCCACTGGGGGCTCAGGGACCCCGAGCCCCACGGGCAAATCCACCTGCACCTCCTCCACCTCCCTGAGGGCAGTGGGAGAGGCCGTGCCCTGGCCTCCCCACACAAGTGGGCAGAGAAACTCACCGCCAAGAACAGCATACAGTACATCCCGAAGGAGGAGTGTCCAGAGTAGAAAGAGAGCCTGGGAAGGAGTGTCAGCAGGGTTGGTGGGGGCGGCCACATAGCTGGCCAGCCGCTGTGTCAGCCCGCCAGCCCACTGCTGTGCCAGCCAGCCAGCCTGCCCAGGATGTCTCCAAGGGGGTAGGGGCCCGGGCTGGGCCTGCAGCCTCCAACACCACGGTGACACAGCGGGACCAGTCTGCCACCCCAGGGCCCAGGCAGGCAAAGCCAGGTCTATGCCCATGTCCCCTTCAGGAACCTGAGGGAAGAGCCATGCTTTCTACCAACTCCAGACTCAGCACAGGCATGGAGGGACTGGCAGGAAGGCCATCATGCCCTGCTGGGGAGCTCTGAAGCAGATCAAAAGCTTGTGGCAACCAAAGGGCTCAACCACACAATCAGTTCTGCACTACTGTGTCACACACCAGGACAGGACAGCACAGGCTGGGACAGTGGCACCGAACTCCCATGGGGACCTGCCACTCATGCCATCTGGTGCCTGCAGGAGGGTCTGGCTTCCCTCCACCTTATGCAAGGCCTCAACCACTACTGCAGGGCGATGGAACAGGAACTGAGGCCGAGGAGAGGCCAGCCAAAAGCTAGGAGGACAAGGGCCACCAGGCAGAGGGCCCAGGCACTCTGCTTGGGACGAGAAGCTGGGCAAAGGCCACATGCCCCCCATGCAAACACTGGGCAGTTGTCCTTGGTTCCAGGAGTTCAGGAAATCTGTGTCTGTGGCTGGGGTGCAGCACCACGAGACCCTGAGCCAACCCCAGCACTGCCGAGTAAACCAGAGGAATCTACATCTGATGGGCCACCTGTCCTGAGCTAACGGGCCAGGATCTCACAGCCACATGAGACTAAACCCACCCAGAAACATCACTGCCGGCAAAAAGCACAGATGCAGGGAGGGATGCAGGACCTCCTTCCAGAACGTCCCACACGCCCCGTCTCCACAAAACACTGACAAGCACACAGGGGCTTCCGCCAACACCAGGGCAAAGCTACTTGAAGTGTCCCTGAGGTAGACACAGGACATCCGGTAGACCATGTTCAGAACTCAGCATTTAGCCTTAAATGTAAAGTGGGGTGAGGGAAAGGCTGCTGGAGGGAAAGAGCAATGGAAAGCTACAAGCAGGTAACCAGAGTGTCCAAACCCATTGCCCTTGGGGGCTGGGGCTGAGGCTCAGTTGGTAGAGTATTTGCCTTCCATGCACAAGGCCCTGGGTTCCATCCCCAGCACCACAAAAAAAAATAAATAAATAAATAAAATAACAAAAAAAAAAAAAAAAAAAAAAAAACCTCACTGCACTTGACAAACAGGACTTGCCAAACTGTACCCTAAAACCCCCAGCCACCTGAGCCAAGGAAGGGGGCAGCACAGGTGCATTTAATGACCCAACAGGGGGCAGCAACCCCCAGCCCCTCGGGAAGACTGTGTACCCCACCACAGTGTTCGGCCAGTGAGGAACCAGGGGATGGCCTCTGGGCACAAAATGCCGACTGTCCCTGACCACCAGGTGCCCAACCCTGCAGGACTGTCAGTGGAAAGTCTTGCTTTCTCTGTGCTTCTGTCTCAGCCCGTCCTTTGGGTGAGCTTGTTTCTCACACGAAGGAAACCCTCAGAAGACAAGTTCCTGGGTAAGTCACCTGACCCGTGGCCAGAGCTGAAAGGACCCAGGACAATGTCTCCACCAGAGCAGAGCAGGAGGACAAATGAGGAAATGAAAACTAGCATCCCAAATGAAAAACGTCCCTCAGCCAAGATGGGATCAGGGCACGGCATGATGGCCAGGCACAGTGGCCACACCAGCCCAGGAGAGGGAGCACGGAGCACGTGGGAAGGGCACAGGACGCAGCAACCTCCAGGCAGTTTGGTGAACTCAGCAAGCCACAGAGACACAGGTAACCCAACTGTCCAAAGTCACAAGAACCTCAAGAGCGGCAAGAGGGACACCCAAGTGCCCAGCAGACAAAGACAAGGCCAGAGGCAGCAGGAAGGCTGGGGCAGAGGGCTGAAGGGAGCACCTGCTCGCAGCCTGGCACCTACCTGGCCTCGGTGACGTTGGCAGGGCTCCCCCTGCACACCCTCTCCAGCTGCACATAGACCGAGCAGTTGACCCGGCTCCAGTCTGGGTCGCAGACGGCCAAGAAGTTGGGGCGCAGACGACCGATCATGTACTTGGCCAGGTCTGTCAAGGACTGGCTCACGGCCGCCCCGAACAAGAAGGTGCCCAGCACCTTGTAGAGGGCAGCCACATAGTTGTTGAAGTCAGAGCGGGAATAGAGGCGATCAGTGTACACCAGGTAGGCTTCCCCAGCTGAGACCTGGCAGAGAGCAGACGAGGGCCACAGAGCCAGGTCTGGGCCAGCCCAAGGCACCCCACACCCTCAGGTGGCTCTGCACAGCCCCACCCACTCCAGACCCTTCAGCCTTACCAGGATGACAGTGGCTGTGATGGTGACCCCGGCCATAAGCCCATGGGTGATGGTGTCCGGGCGGTAGGGGTATCGGATGGAGTCATCTCCGCAGTAGAACCCTCGCTTGTACGGGGTATTCACCAGGGTCAGGATGGCGAAGGGCAGAGAGGCTGGAGAGGCCAGGGAGGGACGTGGAGCCCTGCCGTGGACACTGCTTGGGCCTCTCCACAACCCTCCGAGTCCCGACTCTGCCTGGGCCACTGGCGGCCCTCTCAGTGCTCGTCCACCCCGGCTCTGCTGCGCACTGTCCACACATCCACCTTACTTAGCTGCCCTCCTGACCACCCACCCCTGGGTCACTGTCACAGGAGGAAACGCCCACTCTTCCCGTTTCCTGTCCCCTGTGGAAGCAGTCGTTTATGTGACATGAAAACTGGACATCCCCATCTGCTGTTGTGTTCAGGGCTGGATGTGGCCAAGCAGGTCTGAAGAGCCACCACAGCCCAGGGACACAGCAAGCAAGGGGCACAGCCCAGGCCCTTTGCCCAGGCACCCATCCCTTCTCTACCTACGTGTCAGGCTGAGACCAAGACATCCCCAGCTCTGTCCAGGAAGGCATCATCACAGTCGCCTTACCAGAGATGGCCCCAAAGCCAAGGGAGGCCTGCAGACAGCAGCCGGCCACAGAGCTGGGCAGAGGGCAGCGCCCTCCCCAATGGCGGCTCCAGGGACAAGCCCAGGCAGGGTGCCCTTTGCCCCCAGCAGGGAGCTGGGTGTGAGTGGGTGCGGCTCTTCTGGGTCTTGAATGCCAGAAGGCAGGAGCCACACTCCCCACAAGCCGACCTGGGGGACCTCCCTGGGGAACACTCCAGGGAGGAGACCAGAGGTCCAGAGGCAGCCGCCCTGTGGGAAAGGGCAGTGTACCAGCTCACCAAGGAGGCCTGCGGGAGCCCAAGGCAGGGTGGGGGGCACAGGGACAAGCACCCCAGGCCAGAGGCCCTGCCCACAATCCAATGGGCCTGGGATGGAGCCCAGACCAGCAGCCCCGCCCCAGCCCCTTCCGCTGGGAGATTCAAGAGCAGTACCCAGGGCAGGGTTCAGGGCACTGGAATCTGGCCCAGACAGGGTCTCCTCTTCATTTGGGCATCTCCAGAGCCTCTCTGGCCTCATCTGCTCCATACCTCTACCACCTACACCTGTGCTGTCTGAACTGTTTACAAACTCAGGCTTCTTAGGAGGGAACTAACTGCCTGGGCCACTGCTCTGGCACACTGCAGCAATGTACAACTGACTTTCAGCGCTGCCCTGCTGCTGTGTGACTCCACCAGGTGGTCCAACCTCTCTGGGCCCAGGCTGCTTGGTGGGAAAGGTGTAAATTATTTGCAGGTCCCTTGATGCCTAACATACAGTAAGTACCACGCGTCTGTTTAAACAAACAACACATGCACTCAGAAAACAGTACCCAAGGCTAGCAGATGATGAGCCATAGGGACTTACTGCTGTTACCTGACCCACTCTAGAGAGGGTGGGCCTGGCCTCCCCAGCAGAATCAGAAGCCAGACTGGGGAAGGAAGACGGCCCATGAGGCCCAAGCGCCCGCCCCCGCGGGGGCAGCAGCATTCCGGGGCCATTGTCCACTGGGCCCCAGGGCAACACTCGGCCTTTGTTCCCAGGACCTGGGCCCGGGGCGGGCGGGGCCTCGAGATGCGCCCTCCCCCCGCGCAGCCCGCAAACCGGCCCGGCAGGTTAGGCTCGGCCGGGAGGCCCGGCCGCAGCGCGGCAGCCCGGGGCGGCAGGTCAGCCTCTGGGGCCCGAGGGCAAGAGCTATGGATCTCGTCTGCGTCAGGACGGCCAGGCTCGGCGGGTCCGGGGTCCCCCCCGCCCGCCGGCGCCCCCTTGCCCCGCGCAGGATCTTGCGGCCGGGGGCGTGTCCGCCCGGGGTCCCCACACCTGGGCCCGCGGCTCTTACCGACCAACACGCACAGCACGTCGAGCAGCACGAAGACCCACCTCCGCTCCATGTCGCCCCCGTCCGGGCCGTGCCCGCGACCCCCGGAGCGCGTCCCAGCGCGTCCCGTCGCGTCCCAGGGCCGCAGGGTCACATGGCCGCGGAGCCGCCCCGGCGGAGGGGAGGGGCGGGGGCGGGGCGGTGACGGGGGCGGAGCGGGGCGGTGACAGCAGGAGGGGCGGCGGGGTGGCCGGGGATTGCGGCAGTGCCGGGATGGGGGCACGCGTGCGGGGTGCGCGGGAGGGGAACAGGGTGAGGAGCGCAGAGCACAGGGGTCTCCGAGCTGAGAAAGGCCGCCGGACGCTCAGGGACAGCGGGCTCGAGGGCACGCAGGGTGTTCCCCAGGGCGTCCCCCAGGGCAAGGGCGGCGGAGTACGAGCTGGTGGCTCTAGGCAGAGTTTGGGTGCACAGAGGCTGCAGATATGGGGTATGGACAGCTCGGAGCCCACCCCGAAGGACACGTGCTCTGGGCTTCGCCGAGCCACTCTTTACCGGAAAGGGCACCGGTGCTGGACACCCTGAGCCCTGCAAAACCAGGAAGTACTGGGTGGGTGGTGTTCTGGCTGAGTCTCAGGTGTCACTTCTTTCTAAAACAATGATCCTGGAGCGCTTGGGATACCTGGCAGGTGGGAAGGTCCAGTTCCTCCAACACCGGTTCTGTGGGTGGAAGGATCTGGATGCACCCCTTGGCACACTGCTGTCCCCACTCCACGGAAGGGCACAGAGAGATGCCCAGAGGTCAAAACTTTGATGAATGGAGCAGGGCCTGCCCTGCATCCACACAGATCCAGGGAACCCTAGGACATGGGTGCCTGGTGGGTGGTGGTCAAGGGCACCCTGATTGGGGAAAACCAAGGCCTGAGGGACCAGTGGCAAAAGGGTTCAGTGTCTAACATCCACATTAGATCCTTTTGTCTGGGACCATCTGGAAAGCTGTCTTGACTCTTTCCAGCAGGTGAACCTGGTCACTTGATGCTCACAGTGAGAGTGCCAGGTCTGGGACTTGAATCCGGGGTGCTCTGCTGCCTTGACCACCAAGGTCATGCTCCTGAGCACCAGCAGCCCCACCCTCAACAATCTCAACAACCTCAAGCCGGCAGCCCAGGTCCAGGGGAGGGCAGCTTGGCCCAAGGTCAAGCAGCTGGGCTGCACTGCACTCAGAGCCCCCTCAGCCCACTTCCTGCATGTACCTGGGGTGGAGGTGGTCCTGGGGAATCCTGAGAGCACCCAGGTGGGCAAGGCACAGCTGCCCTGTGGGGGTGAGGGAAGGTCCAGTGCCCAGCTTTGCACAGGCAGTTTAACCGGGTCCACCAGCAGGGCAGGGAGAGTTTCCAGTGCAGCCCCAGCCCCAAGTTCTCTGCAGCATCTGGGGAGGCATGTAAGGGCGCCCAGAGCCCCAGGCCCACTGCACACCAGGGCAGCCAGGTCTGACCCTCTGTGCATGAAGACGTCCCTTGTTGCAGGGTCGTCATGAGTGGGTTTCAGATTCAAGGCACCCAGGAGGGCTTGGGCTCTGCCCATCTGGCACAGGGCAGGGGGCCCCACCCCATCATGGCCCATTTGTCAGTCATGCCCACAGAGCCATGGATTCTACTGTGAGAATCTCCGCCAACGTGAAACCCTAGGCCAGGCATAACTGTGATATCCATGTGGATGGCACCGTTACAGCCCCCAACTCTGCTACCTAGGACAGGGCCCTCCTCGGGACGTCGAGGCGCCCTTCCACACTTCCTGCTGAGGGAAGGGGTAGCAGCTGCTCAGGGGCTGCTGGCAGAGGCTTCAGGGCAAGTGGGGCAGGGAGGGTAGACCACAAGTCCTTCCTCTGGGTTCAGGATTTGGGTCAGTCCTTAAAACCCTGGGCAGGGTCAGGATTAAAACCTGGTGGGGACAGCAAAAATCAGGATTAGGGTTTGGATTTGGGTCAAGGTTCCTACATCTGTTACCTGGGGTTGTCCACACCTTGAGGAGCTACTTCCTTAGAGTTCTCACATCCAGAACAGACTGCCAGCCCCAGCTGCCCATTCCCCCTCACAGGGAGGCCCTGAGGGGAGAAGACTGGGCTGGAAGTCAGGCCTCCCTCACCTGCAGATGGAGACCTGGAAGGGATGGACGGGTGCAGGGGTCCAAGAGAAGACTAGTTCCGGGGGCCTGGTGGTTCCCAAGTGATGGAGCTCAGTGCCACCTATGCCCACTCAGGGCCTCACTGTAACTTACAGCCTCCAGATTGCTGTGGGGATGGAAGTGCCCAGGCAGTGTGTGGAGGGCCTGGCACTCAGTAGGTGCCAACCAAGTACAGACCGCACTCTACCTGCACCCTCCTCTCTTGGTGAAGTTGCACACCAAAGTCAGGGTTACAAGATTCCCTACCTCCCAGGGCCACGGAGGCCACAGGTTAGAGCCAGGGGGGCTGCCAACAGGACTCAAGGACAGTTGGTGGGCAGGCAAAGCTCCGAGGAGCTGGTGTGGGAATAGGTCTCGGTGTGCTGGATCTCCTCTGCCCAACTTTAGACCCCATGGCCTGCAGCAGGCACACTGGGAAGCACTGCTGCAACGCCCAGGAGGCAGACAACAGGGCTGGGGGATGTGCAGGACACCTTCAGAATGTCCTGCCTTCAGATCCAGGGTCCAGCGCCAGTGTCCTTGGGGTCCCAGAACTGCACAGTGCCACAATCCTTGGAGAGCCCCCTAATGTAGAACCACACCTCAGAGTCAGGGATGGGGTGAGCTTCAGGGTCCTGGGTGAAGACACCTCGGCCACACCCAACTCATGCAGACACGCCGGCCACAGGCTTGCGCCTGGGTCCCCTGTGGGGCCAGACACACCACATAGGCTGTGCCTGTGCACAACAGCACCAGGAGGGCAAGGCCAAACACAGCAGAGGCCTGGCAGGCACTCAAGAAATGAGGAAGTGAGCAGCAGGAGCTGAATGGAGCCCTGGAGGCCTGGAGCCTGAGGCTGCAGGGCCGCTGGACTGAGCCATCCCAGACCGTGAGACAGGAGCACAACGCGGTACCTCAGCAGTGTAGTGGCAGCCCAGTCCGGCCCAGTCACACTCTCCAGGCCCACCCCTGCCGCAAGCTTAAACAGGACAGCAGAAGCCATCAGCAAAGCACAACACAGGACCCACAGGCTGAAGACCCAGCTCCTGAGGCCACTGTGCTCAAGGGTTAAGGGCCTTCTGGTGACCCTCCTGATGCCTCCCCAGGTGCCAGCTCCTCCAATGTGGGGGACAATCCCCAAAGTGCCCTGTGGGCCTTGTTTCCATCTCTCCCCTGCACAGGAGTGACTCCTGGCTCTGCAGTCCCATGGGACACCTTGGGCTAGCTGTGACTGGAGCACCTGTGCCTGTAGGGCAGGACCAGGGACACCCTCTGCAGGAAACGGGCACTGACATTCCCAAGGCACTTAAAGATTCCACACCCGTCTCAACATCCTCCTGAACAGCCCACGAACGGGCTGGGGCTGTATTAAAAGTACAGGATGGGGCTGGGGATGTGGCTCAGAGGTAGGCTGCTCACCTAGCATGCGTGAGGCCCTGGGTTCTATCCTCAGCACCACATTAAAAAACAAAATAAAGGTGTTGTGTCCACCTACAACTAAATAAATGTTGTTTTGTCTGTCTTAAATATAGTATGACAACACAAATCTGAATCCTAACAGGGCAACAACCATTTTTTAGTATACGTATACCCCAAATATTATATGGGATACACTTATATCAGAATTATTTATCCGTACTTAGAACCAAACTGGGCACCCTGTGTTTTACCTGGCAGCTCTCCCTGGAAAACAAGAGCTGCATGGTCTCCAGGACGCGGTGGTCAGGTCGACGAGGCCAAGACCCTGGGGCAGTGGCCAGCCAGCACCACCAGCTCTGGAACACTGCTGAGAAGCCCGGGCTGTCGCCTTCATGGCAACCGTCTGCACTTGTCCAGTGCAGGTTCTCACAGGGGTCATGAAAGACGACCCTGGAAGACCACACAAGGCTGGGGACCGAGGGCTGGACCTGAAAGCGCAGGGGCCAGGCCATCCCAATGACTGGATGCCAGATGGAGCTGGTCCCCAGGCATGCACCAGGGGCTGGCTGGAGGGCAGAGAGAGTGTGGCCAGCAGGAACAGCTTGGTGCCTCCCTCAGAGCTTGAAACCTGAGTTGAGCCCCACCTACGGGGGGGCCCTCCCAACCAGCCCGAAGGCAACGTACCCACCCTGGCCAAGACTACACTCATCCCCCCGTCCCCCATTTTTCCACACATGCCCAGCAAGCAATCAGGAACCCAGGACATCATCAGCAGGAACAGGAAACAGATGACACCCCAGGTTGGCCCGGCCCCGCCCTCTCCAACCCACCGCACCCTAGGTCTTCAAGTTCCTCAGCCTGAGAGAAGTACCCCGATGCCTCCCACCCTCAGGGACAGGCACACCACACTACGACCTGTTGGGGCCTGCACTCCTGGCCCCGGCTGTTCCTTTCACCCCATGTCAGTTCCTGCTCCAAGGCCTGTCCTGCCACCTCAGGTAATAGAAAATCACTCTGCCTGGCAGCCACCTAGGGGCCCAGGAGTTATGCCTTCCACCAGGAGGGGCTGTAGCCTCGGCACCACCCAGGCCACAGAGGGAAGCAAGGTCCCAGGGATGAGCTCAGAACTACACGCAGCCCTCCCCACTGTGCCCCACCTCTGGGGCAGAGCCCTCTCCACCTGCTGCCACCTCTGCCCTGGCCTCCTGCAGGGCTTGGCACAAACCCACCTTCCCGAGGGAGCCCCAGCCCTAACCCAGTACTATGCTGCAGTGTCCATCATGAGGACCACTCCACAGTCCCCATGTCTCCAGGCCACACCCCCTGCTGTCAAGGTCACCAGTTGGCCCAGATCCTCAAGCGGGACTCAAGTCCCCTGCAAGACGATGGCCTGAGTCTCCAGCCCCCACCCATCACCA